CCTGGATGCTCCTTGAGTTACTTTTTTAAGAAGCGTGATCTATAAAACCACCTTATGGTTGATTGACACTTATCACCCCGAACCAACTTGCGAAGTAAAATAACAACAATATCTTAGGGTGCTTTAAGGTTCAAATTGATAAACAGGACATAATACGTCAAGGCATAACTGTGGGCGAGAGAAAAAGAAAGCTTGGATATTAAATGTGGCAATCCCAGAGGACCAAAGAACTGAAGCCAAAGATTATGGAATATTGAGACCTACAAATTAAGATTTGGGGCCATTGGGGAAAAAAAGCAACTGGAGATTGATACAAAATCTGAAGGAAATTGCCACAAATAGGATCACAATAGGACAATCACAAAGGGAGACACAACTTAGAAGTGCCATATTATCAGAAGTTACAGAATCTGAGATTCTTGGATAAACTCAGAATCACTGATGATCCAAACCATCTGCCAGTAACACCTGGTAGGTGGTAAGCAAAAATAATAATAATAATAATAATAATAATAATAATAATAATAATAATAATAATAATATATCAACAATAATAATATGCCACATTATTTGACAATACTGCATTGATTTCTAGATTCTTGGATAAAACAGTAATATATAGGATATATAAGGATATATAGATCAGAGTTTTTAATCTATGGTCCACAGAACCTACATAACTTCAGGTGGTCCATGAAATGACGAAAAATATTTTTTTGTCTATTTCCTTCCTGTTTATTATTTATTTTATTCATTTCTATCCTGCCTTTCTCCCAAGAACAGGACTCAAGGTGACTAAGAACATATTTTAAAACAATACAGATTGAAAACTACACAAAAGCATCCATTAAAGTATAAATATAAAAGTTTAGGGTTTTTTAATATTAAATATATATATAAATAAGCTAAAATTACTTTGTTAAGATTAACATTACTTTGACAATTGTGTCAAATTATATAAGGTAAATTTAAAAAAAATTAAATTAAAAATTATATAAGCTAAAATTACTTTGGTAAGGTTAACGTTACTTTGACAATTGTGTCAAATTATATAAGCTAAATTAAAATTATTATTTTTTAAATTAAAAATTATATAAGCTAAAATTATTTTGGTAAGGTTAATGTTACTTTGACAATTGTGTCCAAAAGGCCCAGCGTCCAACTTTACACTTTAAAGTCAACTTTAAAGCTTAACTGTAAAGTTAAAGTTACTTTGTTAACTTAGTTTTCCATGGGTTTTCCAGGCTAATTTTGTTAACAACAACATCCGGACAAAATGCAGACCTGTGAGTAACATTTTCTCCTATATGATTTTTTAACACTTTTGCCTGATGCAAAAGGTAGTGGATCTTCAGAAGCTTGCACATTTTTGTGCAAGCTTGCACATGTACTTTGCACATTTTTGTTGGTCCAAGAAAGGCATCACTGTTTTGTGGATTTGGGATGT